TTTCTTGTCCCTTCTTTCCTTTCCCCCTTCCCCTTTCTTTGTCTTTTCTTTTGAACATTGTCTTCCTGTTTCCCAATATCTGTTACACATTTTGGACCTTCCTTACACAATTGGTTTCTCAAATCAGATAAGTAATGTATCTAAACGTGTGTGTCTGATTTGATTCATAAAGAGTATGATCCCAAGGTGAATCCGTTTACCTAGAAAAGTGTCAGGATATCCTTTATGGTTGAGTAGTACTCCATTGTATAACCCTCCCACCCACCACCACCACCACACAACTTCTTTATGTATTCATAGGCTCATGGGATTTGGGCTATTCCAAGATTTAGCTATTATGAGCTGTGCTGCTATAAACATGGGTGTGCATGTATCACTGTGCTGTGATGCTTTTAATTCTTTTGGGAAGTTACCAAGAAAGGGAATAGCTTTCTATGGAACCTCTGGTTTTAGTCTTTTGAATGATTATTTTAATCTAGAGATAATAACTAAGGAACAATTTATATATAAAGTATGTTCATATTTATGAAGCCATATAGGCATGCAAATAAAATGAAAGAAAGTAATTTGGTAACTTACTGGAGTGATATGAGCAATATGGAAAGCTTTCATGGACTACCTTGATTTTTCTGACTTTAGTGATAAAAAGTGAAAAAAAGAAACATCTTTCATAAGAAAGGAAGAACAGTTGATGTGTGTTCACTGTACAATTGGACATTTTCTTTTTGTAATTCTTTTTTCTGAAGTTTAGTCAGTGTTATGCTGAAGTTTTATGTGACCATCAGGTGGAAGAAAGAGAAATAAGGATGCATAGTGAAATTAAATAAAACAGGAAGACTACAGAGATACCTATTGTGGTATATTCTCAGTCTGAATGCACTGGTCAAAAATACTACTACTAGGGAGAGACCCCATGATCTATTGTACCAGAATCTACTTGTTCTAAAGGACTAACTGAGAATTGCTGTTTATAACTGGAAATACATTATTACGTCACTGCAGTGATGTGACTACATCAGAAGCCATCATTAAGTGAAAAACTATACTCAGAGGTTTCTTTGGTAGGTAGATTATATAAAATTAAAACTACTATTGAGGTGAAAATATAAAGTTCTGGAGACAAAGTTGTGTCCAATCAGTTGGGACTTCTGAAGTCATCCACAGTACTCTCAGAGATGAGGCATAAAGCACAAGAATAGTGAGATAGTACTCTTCTAATGAAAATGACTTTTAGTAGCTACTTCTCAGCTCCACTCTGGTTATTTCAGAAATAGTTTGTCCCTAGGGTTTAGATGATTGACAAACTGCTTACTGTGGTAGATTCTATGGAATAACTTAAAATTCCAATTTCTTTAAAGCAGGATAGCTTTCACAGATACCTGTGTCGGATGGACATGGTAAACAGATACAGAATCTGTGTAGTTCTAATGTAGAAGTCTGATCATATGGTAAATGGTAATCTTAAATTGTATTTGTACTAAAAGTGTCTTGGTAATGTGGCTTTTGGAATAGTGAGGTATTTAGATTTAGGCAAAAAGTAGAGAGTAATTTTTTAATACTAAGGTAGATGATGTTAGTAGAAGACCATGAATGCTATCTTTTAGAGGTTAAATATAAATTCATGGGATCATCAGAAGCAGTGATATTATGGTCTGGAACCCCTAAGTCTAAAACAAGAATTCTTGTTTTTCCTCTGAGGTAGATTGTTATTTATTTTTGGCATTAAAGGTTGAACTCGGGGACTTCACTGAGCTATATCCTCAGCCACCTTCTTCCCTTTGTTCTTGTTTTTGCCGCTGAAACCACTTAATAGCAAGGTATCACTGGATCAGTTTTTTTAGTAAATAACAGTAAATGGAGTTTGTTCTTCTATGCCACATGCTCTATGGTTATTTGCATTGTGATAAAGAACCACATTACTAATAGTTTTCTTTAAAATTACATGGTGCTAGTAACTTTTTGTGGCAATTATTTGTTAAATTTTAAGAACATGTAATTTTAAAACTTGAACTATATGGATAATCTATTATTTAGTAATTTTCAGAATTTGACACTTTCGAGTCTGCACAGTTATACCCCCTACCTTTTTAAGAAATTTTCTTTCCTTTTTGGTGTGTGTGTTTGTATGAGAGACAGAGCCTTGCTAAATGGTTCAGGCTGAGTTGGAATTTGTCACCCTCATGCTTCAGCCTCCCAGAGTGCTGGAGTTACAAGCATGCACCACCACACCTGGCTGAACTTTCAAATGGAGGCCCTAATTGTGGTAACTAAACAGTATGGGTCATTTCAAATTGTATATAAGAGTAACGATAGTAGTTAAATGAATACTAATGCACATTCATCAGTCTTCAACACATTTTATCTGATGGCAGTCCAGTTTGATCTTTGATCCCCCACTACCCTCCTCCTCTTGATTAGTCTGTTTATTTTTTCCCCTTGGTTATTTTGAAATTTAGTTTGTGTGTGTTAAACTTCAGCACGATAGGTAAAGTTATTAAAATTTACCTAGTTGTTATAAATGTAGGGTTTGAGATTTTTTTATTATGCCTTTGATACTGCAGAAAATTGTGATCAGTTATGAACCTTGTTTTGTGCCTTTTAAATCTATTGTGTACAAAGCCTTTACTTCTCATCTGATTATTCCCGGAATTCTTATTAGAGAAAAATTAAGAAAATATTTTGAATTTACCTTTGGTTCTACATGAGTAACTCAAATCACCTTTGAAATAAGTCATGTAAATAGTTACTATTCTAGTCACACCTTTCCAGCAGCTTTTTTCTCATGCTTTCAGTTTGAAATTGTAGAGGAATAAAATCATGGTATACTTTGTTTCTTTAAATTTTTTTGAGGTACTAAGAATTGAACCTAGGTCTTTGCACTCAGCTCTGTCTCTACCATTTTATGTCCTTTTAACTTTTTGTTTTTGAAACTAGTTGCTCAGACCAGGATCCAGTTTCCTCCTGCCTCAGCTTCCGAGATTGCTGTGCTTATATGCCCAACTTCTGTAGTGTTCCTTAATGGTTTCTTTGTTTTTGTTTTTTGAATCAGAGTCTCACTGTGCAGTGTAGGCTGGCTTTGAACTTACTGTGTAACCTAGGCTGGCCTCGAACTCTCTGTAATCTTCCTGCCTCAGCCTCCAAGTGGTGGGATTACAGTACTGCCCAGTGTAGGGTACTTTAAAAAGAGAATATAAAACAATTTTATATAGAATGCTCAAAGTATTTTTTTGATCTGTGTGTGCATAACAGCAGTACCAAGGCCAGCTTTTCACTCATGCTGATGGTACTTAGATTGCTTCATCAGACTTTTGTTTTATTTACATTCATTTGCAAGTCTGTAATGTATTTGTGAATAGGTAATGTTTCAGGAAGTTTAAAGGCTGTTGTGGGCCTTTTGCCAGTTTTAATGCTCAGCACTTACTGCATGCTACTTTCTGTTTCTTCTGTCATGCTGAACTGAATGACAGATGATGGTCTGTAAAAATAACTGAAGATCTCTGTTCAGTGAATTTTAGAAATTCATTAGAAGAGACATACACATACGTAAATAATTGGAATATTGTAAAGAAATTATTAGTAACACGAATATAATAGAGGCAGTAGGAACAGTAACCTGTGCCTAGGGAAATAGGAGATGACTACATAATGAACATGTTTTTCATTTCAGTCTTAAAGGAGTTTGCTCCCAGGAAGCAGCCTTCTCCAGGTAGGGAAAAGTCTAGGAATGTAGGTGCCTATGCTGAGCTCTGGGCATCACCTCTCTATTAAGTTTGCCTCAGTCACCATTTCTCCCACCTCTAGTTACTCAATCAGGAATTGATTCATCTTCTAGCTTTTTAATTACACATGAAGATTTATTTTTCTCCATAACTTTTTTGGGGGGACAGGGTATCAGAGATTGAACTCACAGCCTCACGCTTGCCAGGCAGGCACTTATGCTGCTGAGCTAAATCCCCAGCTCCTCCATAGTTTTTTTTTTGCTGTTAGTAGGAATCCTTGAGGTTCTCTCTAACCCTTGTTAGTTGAGATAAGCAAGTGAGTTAAAATTATATATGTAAAACCTGTTGTTTCGAATGTTTGTTGAATAAACAATGCAGTGCATTAGTTAGAAAAAACAGCTAAAATACCAGACCCTAAAACACAGGGCCTCAGGTGTAGTTATTTCTTTTTCACTATCAAAAAAGTGAGCGCTACTCTGAGGTTGTATAGATGCCCTGGCTAGTGGGACAGTTTTGTTGACTTTAACATTATCCAGTGTTTGTCACTTTTTAGTCCCCAAAAAGAGATGAGAATGAGGAAGAAGATACAAGACAAGCCACCTCATGTTTTGCCATGACATAGGCAGCTGTTCTTTCCCTATCCAGGCTTGCGTGTGTCAGAAACAAACAGGAGCCCAAAGGAAGAACCAAAGCTGTGAATAAACAGGGTAGCATAGCAGCTACTTAAGAGTAACAGGACAAGAGTGCAAAATTGGATTGGAACTAAGAATTTGGCTACATCTAGAATTAAGACCATGCTGAATTCCTAGAAGGGTTGCTCCTCTGAAAAGGAGCTAGGAAAACTCCTTCCTTAGGTATATCTTTCAGGACAATTTTTGTTGTAAGAATAAAATGGAATACGGTATGAAGATGTTTTGTAAACTGAGTGGTATGATTAAAATTTTGTTGAAAGTGAAAAATAAATGAGAAAAGTCCATAATGCCCAACCAGGTAACATAAATGAGTGAAGTTTTTCATGTGTTAGACATTTGTTTGCGGAAGGAGATTTGTGAGTTCCAGTGTCTGCGTTGTCCATAGGAACTGGTGATACCCAGATTTAGATAACTGTGGCTGTGGGAAGTGGACTCTGTTTTCATATTTTTCAAGAAGTCTCTGCCTAACAGTTTAAAATTAGATGAGTTTAAGGAAGGAGAAAAGCAAAAAAAGAAATATAGAGGCAGCAAAACCTGGAGGAGAAAAACCAGAATTTGTGTGGAAGGTTTAGGATTAAATCCCTGCCCGCCATGTACAGTGTCCAGGCTATGGCAGCTGCTGAGGAAACACAGACCCCATGCATAAGGCACAGCACTGCTCTACCCCACCCCCTCCACCACCAGGTGTTGCAGTGGTCAACAGCCTCCAGCAACCACAGGGCACTTACTGGGCTTTCTAACAGAAAGCAGGAGGAGACAGTGTTAGTCATTTATGTACAAATTCACAAGTATATTTTCAGTTTTTCAGAATGCTAGATAGTAGGGATATACTTGTTAAGTAAAACACTCCTGTGCTCAGCTAGTTTAAGTTAAGCGTGTGTTAAGTGCCAGCTTCCTAAACTAGTCTGGAAGAGGAAGTCTAGGCAAATCATGACCTGAGAAGTGAAAGTCAGTACAGTAGGAGTACTAGAGAAGAGGGTGGAGTGGCGTTACAGACTTTCTAAGTAGAGATAACTGCCTAGAACAAGGTTATGAGGCAAATTCTAAGGCTAAAGTAAGAGTAAAGTGCAGAGTACAGTAGGTTTAAATTTAGTTGGAAAAGTAGGCAGAGATCTCATTTTAATCATTTTACCCTAGGAACAAAGCCATTAAAAACCCTCTCAATTCATTAAAGTGCTGGTTTTCCACCACAGGATCTGGTAGGTATGGAATGGAGTTCAGGCATAGTTAAATAAAACTGGGCAGGAATGTTATAGCTGCATTAAACTTAAAACTTCAAGGTTAAGTTTTAAAAAACTTAGGGCTGGGGATTTAGCTCAGTGGCATAAGCACCTGCCTTGCAGGCAGGCAGTCGTGAGTTCGATCCCTGGTACTGCTAAAAACGAGAAAGACAAAAAAACAAAACAAAAAGTTTTAAAAAACTTTAGTGGGTTTCATGTCATTTCTTTCCTTTTTTTGGTTTTATTTTGTTTTGTGGTAGGAACTGAACCCGCCGTCTTCATCCTACCAAGCTACATTCCCGAGGGCATGCAACCCCTCTAACTTCTTGAGACAGGGTCTCATTGAGTTGCTGGGTTTGAAATGCCTGTCCTCCTGCTGCATTCTCCCAGAGTGCCGGGGTTACAGGTGTGCCCCACTTTAGCTGGCTTCATCTCATTTTTGTACTGAACAGAATGTTATTTTTTTTTCCCTAGTCACTCAAGTTATCAGCTAAGTTACAATAACTTTGGTGATACTAGAAAAGGACATTTGCATCTATGCTAAAGAGATTTGTGAGATGTGACTTTTGAGCACTCTCTCCACCTTTTCTGCCATTGGCTATAGACTTCCAATAAAAATCAGAAGGGTTGTAAAAGAGCACTTCCTGGTTGAGAGCTGCCCTTGAACAGCTTTCTGGGAAAGTACATGCCAGTGCTTATGCTGGTGTCTTGTCATGGCCATGTTTAGCTGCAGGGTTGACCAGAACTTGCTATCCCTATCACTAAGGAAAAGAAGATAAGCTAAGCTAGCTAGTACTTCCTTAGGCAAATCTTATTACAGTTCTCAATTTCTTTTCACAGTCAACTATCTTTTAGGTTTCTTAAAAGATTTTTGCAAAAAACTTTATATTTTTTACCTGCCTAGCATGACCAAATTATAGAATGTGACTATATTAGATAACATTTTTTATGTCCTTATTTCCTGTTCCATTTGTGTTCTGTGACTTTAAAATTTTCTCATTTTTGTAGTTTATTACCTGCAAATGAGATTGTGTGATAATGAACGTTAATAAAGGAAGCATGTGATAACATAGAAATATTTTATTATTTTTTGAATTTTGGGTTAATCTCAACTTCCAGAAAGCTTAAGGAATAGCTCAACAACTTTATATATTTTCCTGTATTCATCGTGGTGTAGTTTTCTGAGGACAAAGGAAATTGTAAAGAAATTTTAACTTTCAGTAATCATAGTGTTATAATGGTATTATTTTGAAACTTAACGATAATGCAACACAAAGCAAATACAATTTTGTTAATGTAGTTTGGAACCTGAAACGATGCAAGTGAGGACATAGGTACAAAATCGAAGGTTAAGTAAAACACCTTTGAATTTGAATTTGATTTGGACATACTGGCATAATGTATTTTTTAATGCATATATCCTAGCTTATTCCATTAAAAAAAACTTAAAAGTAATGTCCAGTCCATTACTAATAGGCTCACTTAGTGCTCAAATTGCAGTTAATTTCTGGAATAAACAAAAAAGTGTTTTGATGAAATGGCTGAGTTATAGCCCAAGGCAAGAAATACCCAAGGTGATCTGGGTAATCTTGTCATATCAGAATACAAGTAAATTTTCAAAAATTGCTTATTGCTTAAGTTCTTTTGGTGGGGGGGTGCTGGGACTTGAACTCGTGACCTTGCACTTGCCAAGCTGGCACTTAGGCCTCTGAGCTAAACCCCCGGGGCTTTAGTTCTTGTCAAAAGGACTCACCTAATCAAGGGTTTCTTACTTACTAAAATGGGACAGTTTGTAAATCAAGAAGGATGTTAGCTGTACAATAGTTCCTAACCAAAGTTTAAAAAATTATTGGTATTCTTTGAAGGATGTTTGTGATTTAACTCATTTTGAAAACTAGTGAATAAGTAAAAGAAATGAAAATGCTTTTTGCTTTGTGTTTGGTAAGGATAACAGATATGAGGGAAATTTTCTTTTTTAGAAGTATTCAGCTTAATAATGAACAGATTACATATTAAGTAAACAAAGAATGATAAAATACTAACATTTTGTGCCTCTAATTAACAGATAAAACAGATCATCAATGGCTAAAAACTGGATGTAAACTGATGCAGAACTTTGTAATGGAAAATTAGTCAAAGGTGAAATTCTGCAAGAACTCATTAGTGTTTGAACTTTGAAAGACTGAAACTTGATCAAATTTTTATTTTTTTGAAAGAACATTTGTTGCATTAGGCTGAAATTAAAGTTACTAAGGATAAGTTTTTCACCTATTTTAGCTTGTTTTATGTAGGAGACTGTCTTTTCATGGTCCTGTGTATTTTTTTTCAAGTTCTGAATTTTGTAAAACATCACATGATTTCAAAACTAAAGACCAATTTCAGTCACTGTCATGTATAATCCTCCATCTCTGGATAGCCATTTTTACATTAGTTGTTGTTGATTTATGCTACCATTATTGCTTTTTTAAGAGTACAGTATAAGTAAGCATATATAAACATTTTTTCTTGTATAAAGCATGTTATGTTTTGTATCTTGCTTTTTTTCATTTTATATCCTTGAGATCATTCCTTTAATAGTAAAGAAGATAATTTTGGTATGATGACCTAGGATCTCAGTACTGGGGAGGCTGAGGCAGGAGGATCACAGCAAGTTCTTGGCCTGGACTACACAGTGAGTTCCGGGCCAGTATGAACTACATAGCAAGTGTCTAGAAAGAAGAAAAGATACTTCTAAGTATTCTCTGATTTCTGCACCAGACTTGATTATGTCCGAATTAGTTGTCTTAAATGTAGCACGGAATGGTACTTGCCAGTTTACAGGACTGTCTCAAAGCTAGAAGATTTTTTTAATGATCAGGACTCTGTCTCACCTCACTGTCCTTGACCTAACACATGAATAAAGTTTTAAGTAAAGGAACAGTTAATTTTTTTTTAACCCTAGTAGATTAATAAAAGAGAAGTAAAGTTGTTGGTTGGGAAATATTTTTTAATATCAGTGCTAAATTTTCAAGGGATTTAAATCAAACATAACTGTTTTTCTTAACTTACTAGGCTCTGTGCTATTTTGGGGCCTCAGAATTGAATGAGATGGAAGAAGTGGCAAAAATAACCTTGGTAGCATAAGTCTGTTACAGGCAAATTTTTGTTTACTGTTTCTATGAAGAAAACCTTATATTTCAGTAGGTTATAAAACATGGGTAGTTTTGTTCATGGTTTAAATATTTTAATTTTAACTTGTAGAATCGAAATCCTTATAAACTTTTATTTGTTTATGTTAAAAATCTTAAGTCCTTAGCTACTTTTGTGATCTATTTTCTTAAAGCAATTCTGCCACCTGGTGGAATGTTTTTTAAAAATGACAGACTAGTATATGGCTTTCATTTTGTCATATAAACATAAATTCTGTTACCTGTGGTTTCTCATGAAGCCAGATGAAATTATGTCAAAAGCTGGGTTTACCTTATGTACCAGAAATTTAATGTTCAAGTTAGCAACAATTCAGATTTTAAAACCATCTAAACAAATAACCTTGGAGATAAAAAGTTTTGATCTACTAGTTGTTCCAGACCATTTCTCTGGTATCTTGGACCAAGAATTAGAAACGGGAAAAGAGGATCTCAGTAAGGTGTTACTTTCTGTGTATATAGAGGTTAGGAATTACTAGAATTTGTTATTATTTCATACTTATATGTGGATCCATGAGTTTAAAGTTTTTCTCAGAATTATTAATTTTTAAAAGTAAAATATATTTTATAATAGCTTGATTATAATTGCATTCTGCTGAAATTACAGAACAGAGATGTAAACTTGAAATCAACTAGAAATTAGAAGTGACTTTCTTTTTTGCCTGATAATATAGGAATTTCAGTAATGTAACCTTTTCAAAGTTCCTACTTTATAATTGCTATTAGCTAGCCTAGGATCCTGTACTTGGTAGGTTTTGCTCATTATCTTGATCTTACTGTTTAGGCTTTGGCCAAAGCTGTACTAAATATGTCAGTTACCATAAATGACTGAAGATTATGCATGAAATGATTAATCATTTGGGAGTTTCCATTGACTTTTAAGAAAAATAACTGCAGGGCATGGTGACACATATAATCCTAGCAATTGGGAGACTGAGGCAGGAGGATTGCCATGAGTTGGAGGCCAGGCCAGACTTCATAAAGAGCTCAGGGCCAGCCCGAACTTCAAAGTGAAGTCTAGTCTCAGAAAACAACCAAACAAACAAAAAATTAAATTCCTAGTGGATTTTATTTAAAACTTGTTTATTTTCAATTTGTAGCCAGTTGGATGATGATTCTGGGTCAGCTTCGCACTCTGGATCTGGTTCGAGTACTGGGAGCAGCAGTGATGGAAGCAGCGGCCAGTCAGGCAGCAGTGACTCTGAGTCTGCATCTGACTCAGGCAGCCAGTCGGAGTCGGAGTCGGACGCATCCCGCGGAAACAAAGTTCAGGCAAAACCACCAAAAGTGGATGGAGCTGAGGTAATGAAATGTCCA